AAAAATATTCTTTAAATTAATTTTTTCACAAAAGATTGCATTGTCATCAGTTTCTAAGCTATCCTGAAAGTTTCAGCTTGCTAGCTAGTCTGGAAGTGAGTGAAATTTGAGTTTCAAAATTTGATCCAGACAAACAGACAGACAGTGTCTGTTCTTTTCACTCAAGTATTTTTGCACCATTTTAGTCCCCATGATTTGATATGAAAATGATGCAAATATGTGATTAAAGCTTTCTTTTTTTCCTTATGCATCATTTACTCATTAATGTTATATTGTCGAAATACAGAAGTTCATTTTGTGTAAACAAATGAATCTGTTATTAATTTTGCATTCAAACTACATACACAAATAGTTATTGCATATCCTGCAGAGGTTTTTACTCAACTCTAAATTGTAAGAGAAGGATGAAATCTCTGGTGAGATGGAAACAATTGCATTCACTCATACAGTGATGATGTGTTGAGCAATTATAAATACAGCTACAATTAGCAGTATATGCGGAGAGCAGGAGCTGTATAAACAATAGCCTTTCTTAATTTGCTTACTATAGAGAAAAGTTAGATTTAAATAATTAATTTCAAACTAACTACATGATATGAGTGAAAACTTTCCAGTTACAGTTAGAGTTCTTCAGTAGGCAAGTCACAGGGTGCTGAAAATGTGTCAGGCCAGCTAAAAAAAATGAAATTGTTGTTGTTTGACCTGTGATCTTTTCTACATTTTAGATCATGGGTAAAACATCCACCAAATTTTCATGTCTTGATAGCCAAGAATATTTTTAGCACCCCAATCATACCCATCATGGGTCTCCACCCATGATGGAGACTACCATGACCAGTTGCAGACTTCCAGCTACAACTGGTAATGTTTCACTTATCATCATATACTGGAGTAAGTTGACAAACTATTTCTATAAATTCCCAGAACCTAATAACATTATGAGCTATGCCATGATTTTTTTTTAGAATCACACCTACTCAAAAAATATCAGACGCAGCATCCAACTGGGACAACCCTTGCATTCAGAAAACAGCCTATAAACTTTATAATCCAAAATGAAATATGCAGTTCTGCTCCTATTCATATATACTGTCCTCCTATATATATATATACTGTGTATATATATGCAAAATATATATTTATACTGTGAGACCCCCACATACGGACACCTTGACCTGCGGACAATTAGACATAGGGACACTTCTTTTCCCAGAAAAAATCAACGAATAAGGCCCAACATGAGGACACTGACTTGACATAGGGACATTTTGTGATAAAAATTGCAAATACATTTCAGGCCAAATTACAAGAAACAGATATTTCCAAAAGGGGTGTATATAAACACTGTCTTGACCTCTTATTTGCAGCGGAAGTTGGGTCGAGACCGGTTTTCTGGGGATTATTTGTCCGTGTTTGAAAAAAGTGTGAGAGAGCCCTGAGTTAAGATATATTCTCGTACTGCACTTTCTTCTTCCCGCAGCAGTGATGAAAAAATTCAGCAGATTCCAAAACATGTTCAACATGCTCTCGGTAAGAATGAGGCTTGAAAAAAAAATACTTTTATTCACAATAATGTATATTGAACAAATAAAATATTTGAATTGAATTGATTTTAGAGGGTTTTCTTGCATATATATACTCATTGTATTGAAATAATATATTATAATTCATAGGGTTGTTGAATTTCTGAGCATGTAACATGTGCGCAGAAAAAAAAGTGAATTTCATGAACTGTACAGTCAAATAATTTAAATCAGCAGAGGCCCCAAAAATTTGATTTGGGGAGTTTTTGAGGTATTAAAATCAGTTTTTGCTGGGGAAAAACAAGAATTACAGGAAGGTAATTACAGGAATTTATTAATTACATTTTTATATAGCCTTTAATTGCTGGATAAATGAGTTGAATTTCAGCATCCTGGTCAATTTTCATGCAGGATGTTTCCAAGTATTCTTACCTATCATGAAAAAGTTTAAATTAATTGCTTTCAAATGGTTGTTGATTTTTTTTAAATCGCTATATCCTCAATATAACCACAACAAAGGTTATTTGCAGAGAACAAAGCCTATAAAGAATTTGCAAAGAAAGTGCTGAAACATTTAATTCAAATGTAAATTTAAAAAGTGACTTAATAGGCTGTAAAAATTATTTTGGTGGCAAAGGGATTTTAAACATACTGTACAGTAATATGACTACAATTGATGCATGCTTTTTTTCTTTATACTATCATATATTAATGTCAGCTGAAATCAAATTGCAAAAAAAACGCTGATGTTTTATTGGCAAAAATTGAATTCTGCACAAATTTGGCAAAAAAACTACAAAACGTTTACCTTCTTGTGAAATGAACAGTACTGCATTAAAAGGGAATTTTTCAATTACCCCATTTTTGGATGGCATTTAAAATTATTCAAGTCATTTTGGCAAAAAAGTACTCACCTCAAGTAATCACAAATTTTGTAAGAACAGCAGGAAATCTGAACCACAAATATTACAAAATATTGACACTGACCTCTGTGATGATCAATAATATGCCGATTTTCATCTTTAGCAATTTTCTTTTTTTTTTGCCCAAGAAAATTTTTGGCACAAAAAAAGCGCGTTCTCCTCAAATATTCCTCAATTTCAAAAGAGCAGAAAATCTGAACAAAAAATACAAATTTTAACCACTAGCCTCAATAAGTGATGGTGATGATCGATGATGTGCCAAATTTAACCTTTGTCAATTTTCATTTTTCTCTTTATTTTTTTGGAGTGTGACCCAAAAAAATTTTGGCACAAAAAAAATTACTCTCCTCAAGTAATCACAAATTCCGGAAGAGCAGCAGAAAATCTGAACCACAAAAAGCACAAAATATTGACACTGACCTCATCAGTGATGATCGATGTGATAACGCCGATTTTCATCTTTAGCAATTTTTTTCTTCTCTCTTTTTTTTTTTGGCGTGCCTGTTTCCGTTGCTGATTAGGCGTCGATGCTCCTGTTGGCCTTTGCGACTGTGTTTGCCGACGAAGCACCGGCAAAAATGGACGTCGTCGTCAGCGTCGCGACACCGTCAAAACACGACACGTCACTGCTGCAGACCCATACCGACACTGTCGCTGACGAATCAGTGTCAAACATCAGCACTCTTGGATTGCTGGTTGACAATGGCGACACGATTCCTTCCGCTGGCGGTGAGAGAATTTACCGCATATTTATAATCAATTATCATATAATTATACATTTTCAATTATACATTTTCCCAATAAATTTTGAGAGGAAAAAAACCAGAATTTGGGGGGGGGGGGAAATCAATTCCAACAACTGAGTTTCATGTGACACAAAATGCAATTTATTTGAGGAAATATAATTTAAAATTTTAAATAAATAAAAAAATGAATGATATCCAGCTGAGTTTGTTTGTGAAGCAATTTTAGGCCCAAAATATCACCAATTAAAATAATTTCCTGTGATTCTTTTTTTATTTCCCCCAAGAAAATGCTTCTTTTTATTATACATTTTTCATCTGCCAATTATTTATAAGAGCCTAAATGCATATTTTACTGATGCTATAGTCTCTAAAAAAAATGTCTCCAAACTTCACAAATTATGTTGAGGGAATCTTAGATAGTATTTGGAATTTCATGTAGCATAACACATTTGCAAAGGTTTGGGGTTAAAATTATGTCAGTCAGGAAAAAACATGATTTTTGCAATTTAAAAAGAACCCTTTTACCGCTACAGTTTTTTTTATTTGAAATTCTGAACTGATATATTAACACTCACTATATGTCAGATGTAAAATTTTGCATTTTCTCACAGTTAAATTATGCGTGCATGTGAAAATGGTCCATGTTTTTAGTTTGGGGTTGGGCCATTTTTATTAATGAATCATAAAAAAATTTATTTCATTCCAGGAAAATTAACAAAATTTTAGTGAATTATTATTTAAACTGTAGCAGTTTTGTTCCTGGCATGAAAAATTTATTTCATTCCAGGAAAACTCACAAAATTTTAGTGAATTATTATTTAAACTGTAGCAGTTTTTGCCAAGGAAAACTGAAAATTTTAAAATACGGCTATAGAAATGTAGTAAGTCTGAAACTTTTGAAAATTTTGGTAAAAAGAGGTAGAACCCTTTAACTTAGTACAGTACTTAAAAAGTACAAAACGTAATAAAAACTTTTAAAAGAGACGGTGTGTTATTCCAAAGCATTTTATGTGTTCATCACTTGCTGAGGTATACACCCATACCAAGTAGAAAACTTTTTTTTTCAAGCCAGGGTGTAAAATCCTTAAAATTTCAACAACAAAAATCTCAAAAGGGATTGTATATTGTTTTTTTGTTGTAAAATATCTAATTTGTGCATGCAAATAAAACTCATCCAGGAATGAATTTGCTTTTGTTAAGAATGCAGAAACCCAGCATTTCATTAGCAGAGAAATAACAGAAACTTCTACTGTATTTGATGGACAGGTCACTACAGTGGCTACGCGGGGGCCTGGGGCCACTCCAAAAAGGGCGGTGGCCACAAGAAACACGGCCACCGGAGCAAGAAGGGCCACAAACACAAGAAACACGGGAAACACGCAAAGAAACATTCTGCTGGTCACAAAAGCAAACACGGAAAGCACAAAAAGGGCTACCATCAAGGCAAGAAGGCATTTGGCAAAAAGCACAAGGGTCACAAAAAGCACAGCAAACATTCCAAGGGATCCAAAGGAATGCATAAGAAGGGACACAAAAAGAAGGTAACTT